TGTCCTCATACAGAATCGGTACACAGATGAAGCAGTCGTTCAAACAAGGGGATACTGTGTGGTTTAAAACAAGAACAGCTGTGTGTCAGGATGGTATTCTTTTACCATTACTATTCTGTCTTTACGCTGAAGCAAAAAAATCTGAAAAATTAGATTATATGAGGAAGAGCACATCATCAGGATCAGAGAAGACTCATTAACAACCTGTGATATGCAGATGATACAACCTTGTTTGCTGAAAGCAAAAATTTGGAGCACTTTCTGATGAAGATCAAGTACTATAGCTTTCAGTATGGATTATTGATGTTACGTGCTGTCAAGTTGATTTTGACCCACAGTGACCCTGTATAGGGTTTCCAAGGAGCGACTGGTGAGCTTGAACCACCGATCTTGCGATTCAAACAATTTTGCAGTCTGGCGCATTAACACACAGCGCCATAACAGGACTCCAGTATGGGTTACACCTCAGCATAAAGAAAATGAACAAGGTTTCTCAATAAGTTGTTAAGAATGTAATTTTACTTGGATCCACAATTAACAGTCATGGAAGCAGCAGTCAAGAAATCAGACAAGATTATTGTATTGAGCAAGTCTGTTGCACAAGACCTCTTTAAAGTGTTAAAACACTTTGAAGAGGAGATGGGGATAAGACTCTCGTGGTTCTATAATGAATAATTGCTATCAGGACTGACCGTGAGTGTTGCAAATGTAAAGGTTGATGTTTGTAACAAAAGTAGGGGAGTGGTTGATCTTACAGTCTAGGAGCAAAGTACCCTGGGACCATCAAGGGAGAAGAGCGGAGTGTGGGACCCTTTCGAGAGAAGCAGCGATGCCAGAGATGGAGGCAGAGACGATGACATGGAGAGATGGAGCAGCTGGGGACTCTAGACTCAAGGAGGGAGAGGGGCTGTGTGCTGGTGGCTGGGGGGCTGGCATGCAGGGTTACCCTTTGGTTGTTTGAATGGTTATATATTCCTGAGTGCTTCGGTGTACATCCAAAATAATAAGAAAAAAACAGAGAGATTGGGAGCAAATGCTGTTGAATGATGATGCATGGAGGGGATTTTAATCATTGCAATGAAATGAAATACAACAGGATGAGTGTAAAGCTAATGCTCTCCCATGTAAAGTATCATTCAATTTACAATAAAAATGTAAAAAAAACCCAAAACACTTTGAACACATAGGTATATCTGACCCAAGCTATGGAATTTTCAATGCAAGTGAAAGCTCTGTTCAATGAATAGGGAAGACCAGAGACGAATTGATGCCGTTGAATTATGGTTTTGGCAAAGAATATGAAATATACCAGGGGCTGCCATAAGAACAAACCACTTTGTCTTGGAGGAAGTACAATCAGAATACTCCTAAAAAGTCAGAATGGTGCGATTTCATCTCATGTACTTTGGGCATGTTCTCAGAGGGACCAGTCCCTGGAGAAGGTCTCATTCTTGGTCAAATGTAGTAGGGTCAGTGTAAAAGATGAGAAACCCTGACAAGATGGACAGACACAGTGGCAGCAACATGGCCTCAAATGTAACAACAATTGTGAGGATGGTGCCGGACTGAAGAGCATTTCCTTCTGTTTGGGTCTCTGTGACCTCAAGGACACCTAACAACATCAAGAACTCAAATGTTCTCCACATGTCAGCCAACTTGTTTGTCTTTGTTTTTCAAAACTGGGCAAGTTTGCATTTTTCAGACTGCCACATCTTTCTCCTGCAGAGCGGCTGGGGTTCAAACCACCACCAGGGCTTCTAACTACTGTGCCACCTGGGATCCTCAGGTTCTCTGGAAACTCTACATTAGCTAACTGGTTGGATCCAAAGAACAGCCGCACCTCTGGGTGCTTTCTTCTCACCACCCCTTAATTCTTCATGCGTAACCTATTTCTCTCACTTAATTACATATCCTGCCTCACCCCTATTCTGGAAGCTTTCTTTATAATATTGTATGTTGTTGCTGCTGTTAAGGGCTGTCTAGTCAGTTCCGACTCATAGAGACCTTGTGTAGGTTTCCAAGGAGTGCCTGGTGGGTTTGAACCTCTAACCTTGTGGTTAGCAGTCCAGTGCTCATTCCACAATGCCACACCAAGAATCCATAACAGAATATTGTTGTTGTTGTTAAGTGCTGTCAAGTCGGTTCCGACCCATAGCGACCCTGAACAGGGTTTCCGAGGCTGTAAATCTTTACGGGAGCAGAAAGCTTCATCTTTCTCCCATGGAGCAGCTGGTAGTTTCGAACTGCTGACCTTGCGGTTCACAGCCCAATTCGTAACCATTACGCTGCCAGAGCTCTGGTGATTTTTTATTTTTCCCAGAATCTTTCTATCCATATATCCAGATTTAGCATTCCTTTTCAAGGCTAAATCATATTCCATTATCGGAATTTCTGATATTTGTGAATTGAACTCCCTTTTGACGTATACATAGAAAGTTTCTAGGCTTTCCATATTATTCACTCATATACTTTTGAGTCACTGGCTCACAGCCACCCTGTAAAGGATTTCCAAGGAGCAGCTGGTGGATTTGAACTGCTAACCTTGTAGCTAGCAGTCCAGTGCTGATCATCACTACAGCACCACACTAGGACTCCTTTTCTGTAATGGAACATCCTTATACATTTTGTTTATGATGTTCTAAAGAATAAATACCTGAAAGTAGGTTTCCTGAGTCAAAGCATTTATATATGTTTTAAATATTTGAAAAGTATCAGAAAATTGCCCTCCAAATAGATTATACAAAATTATATTCTTTTCCCAAGCCTTATTTTGATTGTTCAGGCAGTCTCTGGGTTATGAACACCCGACTTTGGGAAAATTCTTACTTATCTTTTGCAGTTGTTAAGTGGTTGTTCCAACCCAAAGTGATCTGGTATAGGGTATCTGAGGAGCAGCTGGGGAGTTTGAACCACTAGCCTTACGGTCCAGTGCTTATCCTACAGTGCCACAAACTTGAACCAACATCTAAGACCAACAAATTCCTCATCATAATCGCTTTCACTTGGTGCACTTGCAGCTTTTAAATCAGTGAAGAGGCTTAGGGCCTTCTCTTGCACCCAAGTGACTAAATTAGAATCGTCTGTACCAGTTCTGAAGGAGCGCTGGTGGAGCTGTAGGATAAGCACTGGACTGCTAACTGTGAGGTCCTCAGTTCAAACCCACCTGGGAGAAAGATGGAGCAGTCTGCTCCCATAAAAGTTTACAGCCTCAGAAACCCTACACATTGGGCCACTATGAGTTGGAATTACTCAGCGGCAGTGGGAGGGTACTTGATCTGGCTCTCTACAACAAATTCCACTTAAAGAATTAAAAACACACCAACAACAACATACCATCAGCTGGAGTCCTGGTGTGGTGCTGTAGGCTAAGCCTTGGATTGCTAGCCACAAGGTTATATGTATATCTTGGTGGTTAAGCCTCTGTGTGGAAGAAAAGTTCTGGCAATCTGTCTCTATGAAGATTCTTCTTGTTGCTGTTCTTGTTAAGTGCATCATGGTTCTGACTCACAGCGACTCCCTATAGGGTTTCTGAGGAGCGGCTGTTGAGTTTGAACCACCGATCTTATGGTTCAAACCACTTTGTGGTCCAGTGCTTACCCTACAGGACCCACCAGGATGCTATGAAGATTGTTGTTGTTAAATGCTGTCGAGTTGATTCTGACCCATAGCGACCCTGTATAGGGTTTCCGAGGAGCAGCTGGTGAGCTTGAACCACCAACCTTGCAGTTCAAACAGCTTGGCAGTCTGGCACGTTAACCCACAGCACCACACAAGGACTTAGCTATGAAGACTGTTGCTTTTGTTATTATGTGCCGTGGAGTTGGTTCCAACTCAGCGACTCCGTACAAGGTTTCTGAGGCTGTAAATCTTTACGGGAGCAGAAAGCCTCATCTTTCTCCCGCGGAGTTTCAAACTGCTGATCTTGAGGTTCTCACCCTAGGAAACCCCATGGGTCAGTTCTACTCTGTCACATGACATTGCTATGAATCAGAATTAGCACACAACAAGCATATATATATTTTTTACATTTAAAATCTGAATGTTTTGAGCTTAGTAAGGCTAAGTATTGTCTCACAAATGGGTTCCTTTCGACATTTAAAGTTATCTGGCTGACCCCTTAAGATACATTATGTGGACTTGCTAACCACAAGATTGGCAGTTCAAACCCACCAGCTGCCCCTTGGAAACCCTATACAGGGCCGCTATGAGTTGGAATTGACTAGACAGCGCTGAAAAACAACACGTATACTTAAGAGTCCTGTGTGGCACTGTAGGGTAAGCACTGTACTGCTAACCACAAGGTTGGTGGTTCAAAACCACCGGCTGCTCCTCTGAAACCCTATACAAGATCACTATAAATGAGAACTGACTTAACGGCACTTAACAGCAACACGTGTGTGTGTGTGTGTGTGTGTGTGTGTGTGTGTGTGAACTATTAACTGTAACACTTTCTTGACTGCACTTTGTTCATTTAAATTTTGGATCAACTTATACTCTGCTGGTGGAAGTAGTCAGCCAGGCCAACCAAGAGCGGGGACTGACCTTTCTGCTTTCCTGGTAGGCAGCACAGTCACGGGGAGGCATTGGTACCTGTTGACACATTTTTTCCTTTAAAGAACACACTTTCCTGTCTCTTTCATCAAGTAATGCCAACTCAGGAATCTCTTATGTACCCCCTCATCGCTTTTAATGGTCATGTATTTCCTGCAAGAATTTTTTTTTCTTCTTAACATGTAGGGTTTTGTTCTAGAAACCTGCTCAAGGCTGGTTGTTTCTGTTCACATACGACACCACTTGACAATCGCTCACACTTCATGTGTTAACCTAGCAGTTCTAAACCTGGCTGGGGCAACTGGCTTCCCAGCGGAGCTTGTTAAAAATAATGGATCAGCAACCCTAGGGGGGCAACTCTGGGAATCTGTATTTCTTAACAAGTTTCACAGAGGCACTGGGTAGACAGCGAGGCCAATGCTACGCACCCCTCCCACCCTTAGCCCTACCTGTGATGGTCTGGGTTTCCGATGTGATGGTTCTGGTGGTGGTCTGAGTCTGCGTGGCTGGCACAGTTTCCTCTGATACAAACTGGACGGTGCTGGGGGTCGCCCCAGGCGTGCTGGTCAACTGGCAACCACTTTGCTTGTGAGCTACGAAGGCATCCAGGTTGTTAAACTGCTGTTTGCAGAGACCACAGATGTGGATGTCAGGAGTCAGCTCAACCAGCACCGTTGTGCCACCTGGAACTCCACGGGACAAAAGGAAAATCACAGTTCAACTCCAAGGAACTTCGCATCACAGTGTAAACCAGGCTCCATGGGAGGACAGAGCTGTGCAGTGGTGGGGCCCTCAGAGAGTACAGTTAAATGATCAACTACTAACCACAAGGCTGGAGGTTCAGACCCACCCAGAAGCGCTTTGGAAGAAAAGCCTGCACATCTGCTTCCACAAGGCCACCACCTTGAAAACCCTGTGGAGCACAGTTCTACTCTGATACATATGGGGTCACCATGTGTCAGAATTGGCTTGATGATTGGTTACGTTGCCAGCAGTCATAACTAGTTCCCAATCCAATGTCCATTCTTCAAGCAAAACCCAAACTGACCTATTGCCATCAAATCAATTCAGGCTCAGAGGGCCTTATGTTGTTGTTATGTACCGTGGAGTCGGTGCCGACTCATAGCAACCCCGTATAGGGTTTCCGAGGCTGTAAATCTTTACGGAAACAGAAAGCCTTATCTTTCTCCCATGGAATAACTGGTAGTTTCGAACTGCTGACCTTGAGGTTCACAACCACTATGCTACTAGAGCTCCTTCAGAGGGCCTTTTAGGACAAAGAAAAACTGTCCCAAGGGGTTTCCAAGGGTATAAAGCTATACGGACTTACAGCTGGTAGGTTTGAACCACCAACTTTGCAGATAGCGCTTAGCAGCCAAATGCTTAATGATTGTACTACCAGGGTACCTCTCTTCTTTGCAAAAAGAATCTCAAGTCTGTCCTAGAGGCCATGTACCCAGACCCTAATGATGGCTCATGATGTACTGTTGGCTACAGAGAAACTATTGGCATTTTGGGCAAAAAAGTTCCTTGGTGTGTGGGGCTGCCCAGGACTTTTCAGAACCAGCAGCTATCTCCTATCCCAACTAAAAGCTAGTTGTAACTCCCAGTTATAGAAACCAATCCTTCCACATTTCTAAATACCTCCCACCCCCTGGTTTAGAGCCGCTATCTAAATAATCTTGACTCCTCTGAATACTTGGAAGTCTCTCAGCATAGTGCTGAAGGAGTTTCTGGGGAAACTTGGTATTTCCTGATATAAAGGGAGTAAATATAGCAGGGACTGGCCCGTTACCCTCTTTGTTTGATCTTGAATGCAGATGTGATGCCAGGAACTTCTGCAGCCAGTTTGTAACACTGAGGAAAATGCTCAAATTACATGAGAAATGCAAACCCTTGATTCCGTGAACCAACCCTGGAATCATTTACCTCCGGACTTCTCATTAATGCCACCACATTTGGGTTTTCTGTTACTTGGGCTAGTGCTATGTGCCGTGGAGTCGGTTCCGACTCATAGAGACCCTGTACAGGGTTTCCGAGGGTGTAAATCTTTACGGGAGCAGAAAGCCTCATCTTTCTCCTGCGGAACAGCTGGTAGTTTTGAACTGCCGACCTTGTGGCTCGCAGCCCGATTCGTAACCACTATGCTACCAGAGCTCCTTTCTGTTACTTGTAGTCAATATTAATTCTTTACATGTTGTTGTTAAGTGCTGTCAAGTTGGTTTTGACTCACAGTTGTCTTATATAGGGTTTTCAAGGAGTGGCTGGTGGATTTGAAGCACCCACCTTTTGGTTCAAACTGACCTTGTGGTCCAGTGCATTATCCTACAGTGCCATCCCAGGACTCCAATACCAGTGTTACTAAGAGTTAATATTCTCTTAATATTTGTAAAGCATAAAATATGTCACCGTATTAGAACATACTATAAGAAGTTCATTAAACAAATTCAACTAACTAGTAAATCTCTAAATAAAAAAAAAAACTAAAAAAAATTCATTTTTAGTTTTTATTCTTTGTCTTATTGTAAGGTAACTCATGATTTGTAACTGAAAATTTTGATGAAAAGAAGCATAAAGAATCAGAAGGAAAATCTCTAATAATCTTTCCACATATGCTGACTATAAACATTATGAAATACTTTCTTCCTTGCATTTTCTTTACATTTAAAATATTGTAGAAACTCTGGTAACGTAGTGGTTATGAATCAGGCTGCTAATCTCAAGGTCGGCAGTTTGAAACTACCAGCTGTTCCGCAGGAGAAAGATGAGGCCTTCTGCTCCCCTAAAGATTTACAGCCTCAGAAACCCCGTGCAGGGTCACTATGAGTCAGAACTGACTCCACAGGACTTAACAACAACAATTTATTATAAAATTAATCCTTTTGCCACATATCATCACATAAGCATTGTTCTATATCATTAAGGAGTCCTGCTGTGGTGCTGTAGGATAAGCACTGGACTGCAAGGTCGGGTTGAACTACAAACCCAGCAGTTCAAACTCACCAGCTACTCTTCCAAAATCCTATACAGGGTCACTATGAGTTGGAACCGACTTGATGGCACTTAACAACAAGGAGCCCTGGTAATGCAGTGGTTGAGTGTACTAATCCTGAGGTTGCTAGTTTGAACACACCAGCCTCTGCCTGGAAGAAAGACCTAGAAATTTGTTCCCGTGCAGATTACTGTCTAGGAAGTTCTGTGGGGTTATACTCTGTGGGGTCATATAATGTTGCTATGAGTCAGAATTAAAGTCACACAACAACATGAATATAATTACTTAATGGTAACACATTATCCCATGGTATATATAAGGGAGGCTACAAAAATTTTATAGACAAAGGGAATTAGAAGATGATGGAATTTTTCCATGAACTTTTTGAAGCCCTTCCCCCTCATAGGTCATAATCTTCATGACAAGTATATTGTATTGACATCACTAATCTTCCCTAAATTCGAATAATACGAGAACTTTCTTTGCGCATAAATGGTCGGTGTCCAAGTGTCATAATTTTAGCACTGAGAACAGAAGTCCCTACTTCCGAAGGTTATTGAGGCCTGGTGTGGCGCTGTGGGTAAAGGCGCTGGACTGCAAGGTCGGTTTGAACGAACGGCCAACGTTGGCGGTCCTTGGAAACTACATAGGGTTACCATGAATCAGAACCAACTCGACGGCATTTAACAACAACCGAGGAATAAATGAGATGGTACTTATAAGTAACCAGATTAGAGGTCTCAACAGGCTGGTGTTACCTGGTTGGTATTAATTTTTTACTTTGAAAGTATTCCCCCATTGAAATTTTTCAATAAGCAAATATTCCTACTTTGTGCGCTTGTCATGAGAATTGTTGTTAAGTGCCCTGTAGTCAGTTCCCATCCATAGGGACCCTCTATAGGATTTCCTAGGAGCGGCTGGTGAGCCTGAACCACCGACCTTGCGGTTCACACCGACTTTCCAGTCCAGCGCATTCACTCACCCACAGCCCTACACCAGGACCCCATCATGAGAATCAGCTGAGCCCCAAATGTAAAATGTAAAAGTAGGCACAGGGAAGTAAGTATGCGTCTGCACCCCCACCCCCACCCCAATCCCCCATCCCCACTTCCTTTACTGTCTCCAAACCTGTTTTAACCTCAGAATGACATTAGGGCATATATTGAGGTGGGGGAGGGTGATTGAGAGAGGGTGAGGGGACTGTTAAACACGCAGGTAGTTGAACCCCATATCTCGGAGATACTGAGTCATAATGGAGAGGGGGCAGGGAGGTTGGGGTTTGGGGAATCTGTGCTTTTTACACTTCATGCAAGCAATACCCAGCCAAGTTTGGGAGGCTGTTTCCACAGTAACAACTCACAAGCAGAGTGCTGGGTGCCCGCACACCCGTTTTTCAGGGGTTCTCAAACTTTCTGTGCTTCAGAATCGCCCATCAGCCAGGAGGGGAGGGCCGATTCCCGGCCCCACCCCAGAGAGCTTATGGGTGGGGCCGGGAAGCTTTTTAAAATAAGCGCTTTTGCTCTCAGGTGGTTGGTGGGCGCTGGGCCCCTGGACTACAATTTGGGAAACAAGGTACCAGGTGAAATCAAGGCTTGATAAGGTTGCTGCCCTTAACAGGAAATTAAAAACAAAGCCAAACTCAAAGGAAGGGGCCACATCCCCATTTCCTACTCCGAGTCGACCCACCTTTGAGGTGAAAAAGGCTTTGCAGTGAACCCGCCAGCTCTCATTAAAACCCTCCAATCCCAGACTCCATGGATTTCTAGCAATCAAGACAGAAATTTTCCCTTCTGCGTTGCCCGGCTACTCCAAATACACCCCTAACTCCGCCTGGGGGGCGGGGAATGCCCCAAAGGGGTGGTGATTGTCTAACAGCATTCCCCCCACCCCACACCGTTCCCTTGCATGGGGTCTTGCCAGGATAGAGAGCGCCCCCCACCTGGCGCCGGATTGGGTGCGCCCACCCCGAGCACCCTCCACCGCCCCTGGCGCCGCGCGCCTTCCACGGTCCCCGAGAGCCAGCTTGCGGCCGTCACCCCGATTTCGGGGCCCCGGGCCTGCTGACTGCGACGCAGACGTGCTTGGGCCCGGGCCCCGGAGCGCGCACTGGGCCTTGAGCGCGCGCTGCGCGGGAGAAGCACTTACTTTGCACGGAGCCCGGGAAGCCCTCCGCCTCGCTGCTCGCGTTCATGGCCGCGGATGGGGAGCCCCGGGTGGCCCGGGCGCCGAGCGGGGCCCCGAGTTACATGGTGCGGGGAGTTTTCCTTTTATTTTTCCAATTCCCCCCACCCCCCCGCCGGTCTTCTCCCAACTCCGTGAGGCGGGGAGGACGGATGTAAAGCCGGCGCCACTTCCGCTGCCTAGAGGGCGCTGGCCACGCCGCCCGGCCTGCTTGCAGCCGCGGTTCCCCGAGGGACCGCGTGAAGACCCGGGCGCGCGGCCCGGGGGACCTAGTGCAGAGCACGCGGCCCGGCGACTCAGGGAACCCCGAGCTGCTAGGGGTGCGCCTCCCGTACCCCCGTGGAGCCGCCCGGGCTCCGGACGCCTGTGCACCTGCAGCCCGGGGCGTCGGACAGCCTCGCCGCCGCCTGGCTGATTTGCTGAGAACGAGTCGGGTTGGAGGGGGATGGGAGGCGTGGGGGCGCGGCGGGCCTGGGAGAATCTCATGCCTGCGTGTACTCCCAGTGATCTCGAAAGTACTGACTGGCTCCTGTACCCAGGTAGAGAAATAGAAGACCGTGCTAAAGTGCAGGATTAGAGTACCAACTATGATCGCACAGCGTTGAAGAGCCCCCCTCGCCTCCACGCTGGAGGATTTCCAACTTTCTCGTGTATCAGATTCACCCGGAGAAGAGAGAACACAATCTGCTTCACCTCTCCTCCATTTCTGATTCAGTAGCCTGGGATGGGGCCCAAGAACTTGCATTTCTGAGTTCACATGAGATGGTCCCTGAAGCTGGTCCTGTGCCCACCCTCTGAGACCACTGCCCTCTGTAATTTGTCCCGCTTCCCCACCTCATCTCGTCTCACTACCTCCTGCTTCAATCCCAAAAATCTCGGCTCACCTCCCAACTCTCCACATTCCCTTCGCAAGGTTTTTGTTTCGTTGCTTCTGCCCAGATAACCCCCTGCCACCTTCCATAATGCCTTCTAGGAGTGGATTCAAATTCCTCTTCTGAGGAGGTGCCCTTGGGCAGCCTATTTTAATACTGCAATTTCTTATCTCCACACCCAACCACTCCCTATCTCCCTCTTGGTTGCGGTATCTTGAGTCCTGGTGTGATGCTGCAGGTTAATGCACTAGACCACAAGGTTGGCGGTTCAAGCTCACCAGCTGCTCCTAGGAAACCCGATACAGGGTCGCTATCTGTTGGAACCTACTCAACGGCACTTAACAACAACTGCGTATACATCTAATGCACCAGCATCTTTAAGTATATCTCCATATATATTTTATATTTTTAAAGTATATCTCCATATATTTTTTTAAAATGTTGCCTTAGAGCCAATTCTAACTTGTGGTGAGACGTATTGCTAGTGGGTTGGCCCACAAATCACATAGTAAACCCAATCCCAGTGCCATCCAGTTAATTCCTACTTATAGCGACCCCTATATGGGGTTTCCGAGGCTGTGAGGCACTGATTTGAACGGAAGATAGGAGGTTCAAACTCACCAGCTGCTCTTCGAAAACCCTTTATAGGGTTGCTGAGTCAGACAGACTCGACAGCACAACACACACACACACACACACACACACATTACAAAATAAATCCACTGCCATCGAGCCAATCCCAACGCATGGTGACCCTGAATATGGGTTTTGAAGGCAGTAAATCTTTACAGAAAACAGGCTTATTTTTCTTCTGAGGCGTGGAAGGTGGGTTGAAACTGCAAAGTCTGCAGGCAGCGCTTTAGTTCTAGCCTACCATGGATATATAATATAATGTAATGTAAT